TATGACCACACACTAAAATAGTTCGAGCCCTAGGAAAAAAATCTGCAGGTCATCTCAATGCATGAGACGTGCAAAGAAACACGGGAGTAAGTGAAGATCTTGAAACGGCTAGCTGTGTGGCACTAGATAAATTCACTTCTGTCCATACTCTACCTTACAGAGAGGGAGTACAAATCTTCCCTTTCATTACTCTTCCTCAAGAGGTAGCTTCCATCCTGCCCGTTGGAAAGCAGCAGCGCTTCTGCTGCATGTCGGGTAAGATTATCGTGATACCACCTGGGAAGACACAAAGGGTTAAAAGCTCATTTGCTCAGCTCTTCACTGACAGCTTCTGCTTCGTTATGGAGCTGAGTCAGAGAAAGAGGAAGGACTGCAACGAACGCTGCTACGGTTTTGAATTGCCATCCTTCTCACAGGCACACACAGGTTACACAGAACTGTGCCCTGTTCAGCAGCCTCCTTTCAACCCCGCAGAAAACTACTTTTTTTTGTTAACTACAAAGTTGTGTACAAACAGCTGAGTTTGCTGAATCTAGAAAACCCTGTAAATTCTACTTGCACTAACAACACATTACCCAGGCCTATGCTGATAAGGTGAAAGCAATTTGGGGAGGTGTGTAGGAACCTTTGACTATTTTCAGAATCTGTACTTCCTGATATATCTACATGCTTTGGTACACTTCCTCCTTTGGGGCAAACAGGCAACACTTACATTTCTCCCAAACTCTTTATTTCCCACAAGTCAGTTCATCCGCAGTGCTAGTATCTGCAATTAAACACATTTGCCTACGCTTAGAATTTTAATTTGAATCATAACCTTTTTGGAAGAAGGAACAGAAGAAGGGATGAAAATTAACTGACAGAATTTGAAGTGAAAATTTAAGACATCTTGCCGTTGTTGCCGCTCGGCCATGTGTGGTCTCAGCAATGTAGGAAAGCATCTAAACGCCTGCTTCATTTAACTTCACTTAAAACTAACTTCACTAATTTTTGTGTATGAAAAATTCCACAAGGAATTCAAAGAAAAAAAAATCCCACAAAGATCATCATGAAATGTTGTTTATGGCTTGTTTTCCATTCAGAATTATTTACAATAGAAACACCTGATTTCTTTCAATAGAAGAGGGATCTCACTGGAAATGATCCTGAAACTGAACACAAAAAAAAGCTGCAGCTATAAAAGGCCGGAGTGCCAATCCTGTAAGGGATCCTGTGTGCAGATATCAACAGCAGGCACACACACACCAGAACCTCTGCTGCGGAAGGACGAGAGGATACTGTACCCAGGGCACAGCTCTGCAGGGAACTAGCTTCTCCCCTCGTCTGCATGCGGAGTGGTGCCGAGTCTCCTTCCCCTTCCTTTAAACTGTGTGCGCCTGTAGCGCTGGGGTCAGCCAGAGAAACAGGGTTTGACTGAAAGCAGAAGTGCCACCACAGCACTTCCCGGCGTTTGTATCATGGCAGCCTTCGAGCTGAAGCGAGGTGTAACTGTATATTCTTCTCCTCATCTGTTCATCACAAGTTGCTGCTAAACTTGGCATCTCGTACAAATTTTAACTCTGAATTTAGACGGCTGCCTATTTGAAAGGCCAGCTTGCTGATAAATCGCTTTATGAGAGCAACCCTGTGGAAGAGAAGATCCATGTGAAACTCAATACAGGCAGGGTATTGCTGCTTTGGCTCTAGAACGTGCTCCATGGACCATCTACACAGTAGAATAAAATAATGAATATTCAAAGATCAAAGTGTCATCCTCTGAAACACCTGTTAGCCAAAATCCGCTTTGGGATTAACTGCCCAAGTAAGCAACAGTCAAAGGTCAGATCTGTCCTGATGATCATGATGAGGATCATGATGAGGATCAAGCACGCACGCTTGGTCAGACTCACAGCTGAGAAGACAACATTGTGTTTTGGGTGGGATCTCATAACACCATTTCTCTCACTTCTGTGCAAAAGAAACACACATTGAGAAAAACTGTGAGTTGTCATTTTCATAAAGGAGCCGTATTCAGCTTGTGGTTGCTCATAAGTATGCTGTTACCTTATTTCCAAAAAGCCTTTTACTAAGACTTTAAAATAGGTAACTTAAGTTTAAAAAACATTGTGTTTAGATCTACACTCTTTTTACACATAAAAGGCCAGTGAGTAATGAATTTTTACCAATATACAAAAAAACCCCCCAAAATCAAAAAATAAAACTCCACCCACTTAACTGGGAAAATAATGGTATTTTAAAGTGCAGTTTTAAATCTTTGCTGTAAAGGTTGAACCATTTGTCTTGCCCAAATACGCTGTGCCAGACAAAAATCCCTCAAATGTACCATATTCCTCTTGCTCAGCTTAAAAAGTAGAAGTGGATGTGACACAATAATACAGATCTTGGCTCAAAAGTGACTGTTATACATACTTATTTTTTTCCTCCTCCTGACTGTCACAACTAGTAACATTTAAAAATGCTGTGGGAAATTTAGCATTTGCACACAGACTATCAGGAATGTAAATAAATACACACCTATGCAAATAGTCCCAATCAAGCCTGCCTGATGACACAAATACAGGTAAATAGGATTAAAAAGAAACCCGAACAGCCCTGTGGTTAGACACTACCAGATACACTTCAGTTGAATTTAAGTGTTTGTCAGAGAGGGAATCCTTCTATTTAACACGGCTCATTCATCAGGACACTGTAAAGGGCAGACCCTTTAGCTTAAGTTTTGGTTGTCTTCTGAGTGATACCTGTGGGGAGGAAACTTGACAGAAAACATAATGCTGTATCTACCTTCTTGCCTTAAAACAAGACATTGATGAAATCAAAAGGCTTTACGCACACCCGTTTGTTTGGAGCCCCTAGCAAGTCCTTCAAAAAGCTGAACTGTCAACTCTCTTGTTTTGAACCACGGTGCACATCTTGCATACTGGGCTGTTTCTGAAGGGCCTTCCAAAAGTCATCTTTATTTGACCCAACTTATAGAGTCTTGTATTCACTACAAAAAAATCCAGAAATATACCCTGTACTTTGACACTTGTCAGACTGAAATTATCAATAGTGTAGAAATTGCCTGGGGTTTCTGATTCAGATTTCTGCAAAGAAACACAAGAGGAAAGAGAGGGGAAAGTCCTTCCCTGCTTCAGAGCCACTTCTGCTGGGTGCCCTTGGCCTTGCACACCCTCCTGTCTCAAATGCATACATACTTCTGGGAGGTTTTTCTTTTCTAATTATTTCGTGTCTCCTACCTCCCTTTTTGAGTTCCTTATCACCAATTTGACTAGCAAGCTCAGAGTTTATAATTGCTGTCATTTATCCATTCTTGTTACTTTAACTTTGTCCTAAATTACATCAAATCTCTTTATCCCATACATGTAAGCATGTTTGTGTTGTCAGCGCGTGTTCTTGAAGGACCATGCTATTCCTCCCGCTCTTTGGAGTGCAAGAGTCTGGTGGGGCCAGGAAAGCACATCTTAAGATGGGCATGCAGCTCTAGTGAGATTACCTTTGCTTCTCTTTGGAAAATAAAGCACTTTCAGAAATCAGCCTACTCTTTAGATCAGATTGGACTGGCAACAGTGTAGGAAGGGCTTTACTGACATTGCTGTTAAGACAGAAGGAGAAAGGAATGAGATACACTCCCCCAGAGAACCAAAACTCATCTGAGCACATAGCCTTGCCCTAAGGATCTGCCCACCCAGTCACCGGTGGGGTTCCTCTGTGTGGTAAGCTGGTGGCTGCCACAATACAAGCCATGTCCATGCCAGCCAGCCACACCACTCTGGCTATGCCAACCATCACAACTCCAGAATAGGACACGTTCACATTAAAATCTCTTTTCATTAAGAGTAATGTGTAGTAATGCAGTGACTTCCTTAGGTTGCCCAAGGAAGCTGTGGATGCCCCCACCCTGGAAGTGTTTAAGGCCAGGCTGGATGAGGCTTTGAGCAACCTGATCTAGTGGAAGGTGTCCCTGCTCATGGCAGGGGCGTTGGAACTAGATGATCTTTAAGGTCCTTTCCAACCCAAACCATTCTATGATTCTAGGACTAGACCTCCCCGCATAGTGGTGGTGATCAGGAATATCTTACAGCAATGCTGGGGGTGGGAAACTCCTTCTTCAGGTAAAAACATCATCCTTAAAATGTTCATTTGTTCTTTTCTTTAGCAACCCAAGATGTTTCAAAGAAAAATGTTAATGAAACTTCATTTCTATGTCCCCTGTAGATCAGACAGCCCTTAGGTATGGCATCTGTAATTTCTGATAATGCTGTTGACAAAGAAACCATATGGATATTTTGCAAAACATTTCTGCCTGTGTAAATATGGGCTGGTGAATAAACCTGTAGCTGGCATCACGTGGATTAACTTTTTAACACTCCTGGAATACACAAGGAACACATTCATCCACAGTTAACCCAAGGGTGAACAGTGAGTGACTTGGTTAAGTCTCTTCTCAGCCATTTCTGTGTGCAAACTGCAACGCCCAGCAGAAACGCTTGCTTTTCTTCCTCATAAAAATGAAAGATAGCCAGCGCCAGAAGACAGCACAGCTACAAGTTCTGACTGCCAGGTTTTTTTAGTGCCTGGAGTGATAACCCTGAGGTATGCCCAGCTATCAGATAAACACAGTAGGCAGAGGTTGCACTTATTTTTTGTGTCCTTATCAGATTATGTTCTCGGGTAGTTATAGCCTGGATAGAGTTAGACACTGTATGCACGTTTGGCTTGCTTTTGTAAGAGTCAGGCAATTTGAAGTTCCTTTTCTGAAGCAGGAAGAAGATCCTCAGTATTCAGCTGGGTGATCTCTCTGCTCCCTTCCCAGAAGCTCCCTCCCTTGCTGCAGAAGGTGCAATACTGCTTGTACCCACGGAGGGAGACGGTCCCTGTGGAAAGCACCTCAGCGGCCTGGGCACATAGCGAATCTAATTCATCTCTCTTCCACCTCCAAAAGGGAACAGAGATCCACATTAGGGGGAGACAGTCCAGGTGTGTGCTCAGTAGGACTTCTATATTATTCAGAGCATTTATTTACCCTGTTTGTTTTTTTGGGGGTTTATTGCATTGGGTTTTTTTGTTTGTTTGTTTTTGTGGTGGTACATGTAGGAAGGTTTTGCACCTTTTTTTCATATTAAAAAATATCTTCTACCACAATAAGTTGAATTTTCTTACACTTTGAAACTATATACGAGCCTCCAAGATGTATTGCCATTCTTAGTTTACAGGAGCAGTACACTATACTGCTTGGCAGAGTGAGCGGGAAAGCACTGACTTACCTCCTGCAGCCA